CTCCAGTATGCGGATGACATCATGGTCTCAGCAGAGAAAAAAAAAGACTGTGAAAAAGCCTCGGTCATCGTCTGCAACGTGCTCGCGCAGGCCGGATTCAAAGCCTCTAAAGAGAAGCTCCAGTGGGCCCAAGCTTAAAGTGACGTACCTGGGACACATAATAATGCCAGGTCTGCGGGCGATTTCAACAGACAGGGTCCAGATGATTAGGAAAATCAAGTCCCCACGAACTGTGCAGCAGCTCCAAAGCTTTCTTGGACTAGTGAACTACTGCAGATCCTGGGTACCTGACTGTGCTATTCATGACAGGCACCTGAGAAACTTGATTGATCACAAAGCTTTGCCTAATACACCATTACACTGGACTGATGAGGCTGAAGTACACTTCAATGCACTGAAGCAAGCCATCACTACGGCTCCAGCCCTTGGCCTGCCTGACTATGGAAACGTGTTCCACCTGCAAGCCCAGGAGACAGAGGTAGTGGCCATTGGCGTACTGTTGCAGCAACACGGTCCCACTTATAGACCAGTAGCATACCTATCTAAGAAACTAGACAATGTAGCTTCAGGTATGCCAGCATGTCTTCGTGCTGTGGCTGCAGCTGCTCTGATTGTACAGATGGTGGAGAAAATAGTTCTGTCACACCCACTGACACTGTACACGTCACACCAAGTAGAAGCTATCCGACATAATATGCAGGCACATGACACATGACATATGACAGCGCAACGGTGCTCGGGTTACGAGGCAATCCTGCTGGCCACCAAAAATCTTACCATCCAACCAACAGCAACCATTAACCCTGCTCTATTAGGTGTTTTGGGCATGGCTGACATGGCAAATCACACTACAGATCATGATTGTATTATTGAACTAACTACTTCTTCTTCCAGGGCCGATCTTTTGGAATCGCCCCTGGATGGGCGGAACACATATATGTTGATGGTTCATGCTCAAAATCTTTTGATGGTGTCTACCTTTGTGGGTATGCTGTAGGGGTGGGCGCTATACCGGTATGAAAGTGACTACCGGTATTATGTTGTTCCATGATATGGATTTTGCTATACCGTGGATACCGTTATATATTCATGAATTCCAATTCTGCATTTATATTGTTTTGTTCAATTTGGTATGCTTTGCAAATTTTAACACAAATGACGATAAAGAGTCGAGGCTGAACATTTTTGTCCTCTGTGTGCAACGCCGTACTCAGGTTGAGTGCAGTGTAGAGAGTAACACGACCCTCCTCCTCCTGTTGGTGCGAGCGAGCGGTCAGTCACGTGTGTATAGGATGGCCGAGTTAAGGAGCTTCCCCTGGAACTTAAGCAATCGGCAACCGGACGTTTTTTTGTCTTATTGCAAGCAACTCGTCTCTGTTCTGGACTTGCACAAACTGCGTTGCAATGCAATCGTTTTCCAAAATGTCATTTATGTGAAAATATGAAGTCTGTAAACGCCCGTTAACACAGGCCAGAAACATTGAAGACGGACGCACAGAGAAAAATACTGTAGCAGGCAGATCACTCACTGTTCATGATGCACAAACTATTGGAAGAAAATCCTCAATATTGATTTGGGGGTTTATATGAATGTGTTTCTGAGGGGAACTGACCGTCTTCAGTAAAGTTTACGTGGTATTTTCTTTTCATCTCGTCTTTGTATAGTTCCTATTAAAGCAGAGTTTCAGTGCAGTGCTGCTTTGTTTACAGCGGTAACCAAGGAAACGCCGTCTGTGGTGTTCCAGAAGCGCCTCCTGCTGTCAGAGAATGAATCTGCGTCTCATTCAGAGCATCTACTGTTTGCTTCGTTCAGGCATGTAGTATAATTTCACAAAGCTAGTCAGAACATTCTGTTTTTGCTTCAAATTGGGTTATTATTAAATCAAATTATGTATATGAAATTATATAACTAAATTATATAAATTATATGTATACGAATTATATAACTAAAATTAAATAACTAATTACAGATTTAGGTTAAATAAAGATGTCAGTCTTTATTTTTCTTCTTTTTAGGAAACAAATCAAAGAAAAAATAAATTCTACTGTTCCTAATATTCTGTATGTTGCTCAAAAACAAAATATATTGTGTTCAGCGGAAAA